TGTGTAGGTGGGCTTGAAAATGGCAGAGTGATGGCAGTTTACTCGCCACAAAAACCGCGATATTTCGTGAACGATTTGGCGAACCGTTCCACAAAGTAATAGCAATCCGATCGGGAACAATCCGCACGTTTTGATATATTACTTGTCTTTGTAGTGTAAAAACTGTGGGAGAAGTTAGCGTGGCAAATATGGCTATAATAAGAAACGGAATAAGAATAAGAATATATATGTGAGATAACAATAAGTGTTCCTTGCTATGCAAGAACACTTAATAAGAATAAGAATAAGAATATATTTGTGAGATAACAATAAGTGTTCCTTGCTATGCAAGAACACTTAATAAGAATATATTTGTGAGATAACAATAAGTGTTCCTTGCTATGCAAGAACACTTAATAATGTTAGTGCACATCCCCTACATAACAGGCCTGAGGCCAATATCAAAACCTAACTGTTTTTCACTAGTTTTGCATTTGGCTAGGGTCAGTGTCACTACTGATAGCATGAGACGATACCTGGACCCTACAGAGGTTGCACAGACAGTCAACTCCTCCAGGGTAGCACATCAATACGTGCCATTGCCAGAAGGTTTGCTGTGTCTTCCAGCACAGTCTCAAGAGCATGGAAGAGATTCCAGGAGACAGGCAGTTACTCTAGGAGTTACTCTAGGAGAGCTGGATAGGGCCGAAGAAGGTCCTTAACCCATGATGCGCCTTTGTGCAAGGAGGAACAGGATGAGCAGGATGAGGAGGACATCCTCAGGACACCAACTATCATCTCATTAGGAGCATGCCCAGACATTGTCAGGCATGCATACAAGTACATAGGGGTGATACAAACTACTGAGTACAATTTTGAGTTGCTGCAATGAAATTTCAGCAAAATGGACTAGCCTGCTGCATCATTTTTTCACTTTGATTTTGAGGGTGTCTTTGAATTTGATCCTCTGTAGGATGATAATTCTCATTTCCATGAAACGATGGGGTATCCTTGAGTTCTTAACACATTACCCAGTATATATCAGTATAGATATCCAGCATGATATTTTTCCCCATTGAGATCTGATGTGTTTTCAAAGTGATCCTTTGCTGCATCTTTATAATAAACTGATTACCTCTTTACTTGACAATTTTATTATAGGATTCATGCAAAAAGTCATCACATTTTGGTACTTACAGCAGCACTTTTGTTTACAGTGCTTCTCTAGATATTCATTCGGAGATAAGGAAATCCAGAGACTGTTCTTTCATGTTCTTTGAAGACTATTAATGTGGTTTATCACTCTGTACCTTTGGACACCAATCATATACCCATTTTATGTGGTTTATGCAGCTCAAATACTTTATGTCCTATGGTACATTTTGCATCTCATTAAGGCTGTGATCTTCTTTTTCATCCTGTTATTTGTTCTTTGTTCTGAACCACTAATGATTTACAACATATTTTCCTAGAATGTTGTAATACACTTCTCTGGAAAATCTATTGGCATCCTAGACAGTAATAATAATGAAATGGATAGTAAACTCGGTGTGTGGATATGTGAAGAAGCAGTTTAGCAATTGTTTCTACACATGACTTATATTAAAAATGTTTATTAGACCATGGACAAAGTTTTAGGCCACCCATATGACATTTGGTTCAGATTTCACTGCATATGTTAATTACAAGTATTGTATGTTTTATTGTTTTAGTAGGTATTCGACTGAAACTTTACACTTGCTAAAAACAAAGTTTTTATTCCTTGTAATGCAAAAAATCCATCATCCAATATTTTCCAGTTGTAACACATGTCCACATTGTTTACTACTTTAAAACAATTAATAATTAGTCATTTTATGTGCTTTAAAATTCTTATATTGGGACATTTCCATTCCCTTAAATGAAATAAAACAGACACTTTTATGGCTAAAAGCTGGCAACTTGAAATATTGTCAGAAAAATATTGGCATAAAACTCATAAAAAAAATATACTGGGCCATGTGTTCTAAACATATTGATAATGAATAGCATATATATATATATATATATATATATATATATATATATATATATATATGTATATATATATATATATATTTTTTTTTTTTTTTTTTTTTAAGTAAGACAAAACATTACAATTTGGTTGAAAAGCAAAATACATCTACTATAAAAAGATTATTATTTTTTGGCTGTTTAAGACCTGACATATCAATACCTATTAAAGTAGATCTAAATTTTAAATGGATGGAAATTAATTTGGAGGGTTTTTTTTTCATAAAAGGATCTTTTCACCTTTTTTGCATCTCAGTGCTACTGATTTTATATAGCCTTTTAGCCACTTTTTGTCTACATGTACTCGTCCAAGCATCAGCTACACATCATTGGTTTTCATCTTAAAAGTGACGATGGTGGATCATAAACATGCAATGTTTGTTGGCACAACCATTTATAGCCTCCATCAGGGATGCCTGTGGCAGGGTAGGAAGATGAAAGCCAAAAATAAGAAATGGTTGTTACCAAATAAGAGGAACTGTCTGAACAAGGACATTCATGGCAGGATCACCAGGTATTTTTTTAAAATCAAGCTGCATATATAAAAGGATTAAAATACAGGTTTTGAAATTACATTAGCATGTTAAAGCTTATGTAAGATTTTTGGTTGTTGGGTTTAAATATACATTAATTTGGATTTGAGGTTATTTTGGGCCATTTCAGGCATACAATTATGAGACAATTACATTGAATGGCTTTCTGAATAGGTTGCAGCTGGTGAAGGCCGTTTAAAACTGTCTTGGTCTGCTGTATGCTATGTGTACTTGGACCAACTCCTTCCCCAAGCAATTCCATGTTAAGTGAATTTATTAAACAACCACTGAACAAGTAACTGTTTACTGAGCTGTGGTTTTTGCAAACCGAGTTATTGAGATAGAATTGAGTGCGTTGTTAATTCCAATATAAGTCTTCACATATGGAAAATGTGAATATTGGTAAAGTACTTGGAAAAGATATATGGTATTTTGAGTGGACCTTCACCCTCCTCATGGATGTTCTGTCATTCTACTCCTACCCCCTCCTCTCTTACAGTCAAAACCTTTTTTATTGTTATTTTTTTCTTCTCGGGGTGCCCTCCCTGTAATTCCTGTATTCACACCTAGGCAAAAATGCTGTCGCAGTAGACCTCACCTTCCTGGGATACTCATATCACACACTCCATTGTGCATGGTCATGGTTCTTGCAGCTGACCCCTGATGGTGCACAGCGGTTCATGCATGTCAACATGGGTGGGGGGATCAAGTACTCACAAGGAAGTACCCATGCAGAGCAGTTCAGCGGCACATCCCTACAGAACACCATGGGATTTCTGGGCTTGTGAGTATGTTTATTGTGGATAACCCAGCAAAAAAATAAAAGAGGGTCATGGGGTGAGTTTTCACATTGGCTAATTCTTGCTAACATGGAAAAATTAAAATACGTAAGTGTGGAAATACATTTAAAATAAATCTCTGGTCTCTCTACTGTTTGTGAACATGTTGAGTGGGATCTTTTGTTTTTTCTAAAATATGTTACATGTTCCATCGTCTCCTGTGTGAACCCACAGCACTACTACTGAGTGTGCCATACATAAAGAGACCTCACTAAATGACCACACCAAACCAAAATCCCTTGTTTTATCAAAGGTCTGAACCACTATTAGTAGAGTCAATATACAATTTAAAATATTGCAAATAGCTTGTTATCCAAAATTGGTATTGGCCACTACTTTCTTCTGATCAAATCATCAGTTGACATATTAATCACTTCAAGTCTGGACACTTTCACCCCCTTCCTGTCCAGGCCAATTTTCAGCTTTCAGTGCTATCACACTTTGAATGACAATTGCGCAGTCATGCAGCACTGTACCCATATACATTTTTTAGCATTTTTTTGAGACAGATAAAACTTTATTTTGGTGGTATTTATTCACCACTGGGATTTTTATTTTTTTTGCTATATAAATGAAAAAGTGTTTTTTCTTATAAAATTTAGCAAATAAATAATCTTTGTTCATAAATCTTACCTATGGCAAGATGCATTATCATCCTGAAAAATGATGTCATCATCACCAAACATCCCTTCAATTGATGGAATAAGAAAGCTGTCCAAAATCCCAATATAAACTTGTACATTTGTTGGAGATTTAATGACTGTCATCTCCCCAGTACCTTTAGTTGACATGCAACCCCATATCATCAATGATTGTGGAAATTTGCATGTTTTCTTCAGGCAGTTGTCTTTACACATTTCATTGGAATGGAAATCAAACAAGTTCCAGCATCATTACCCTGCCCAATGCAGATTTGTGATTCATCACTGAATATCACTTTCATCCAGTCATCCACAGTCCATGATTGCTTTTCTTTAGTCCACTGTAACCTTGTTTTTTTTCTGTTTTAGGTGTTAATGATGGATTTCGTTTGGATTTTCTGTACGTAAATCTCATTTCCTTTAGGCGATGTCTTACAGTTCAGTCACAGACATTGCCTCCAGTTTCTGCCCATATGTTCCTCATTTGTTCTGTTGTCCATTTTCTATCATCATTAATATTATTATTATACAGGATTTATATAGCGGCAACAGTTTACGCAGTGCTTTACTACATGAGGACAGATGGTACAATTACAATACAAATGATTACAGGATTCAGAGGGCCCTGCTTTTTTAAGGCATATTGCTTTATATTTTCTATCTTGATGCTTTGATGTCTTCCTTGGTCTACCAGTACTCTTCCCTTTTTACAACCCTCCCATTTGATTTGTACTTGGTCCAAATTTTAGACACAGCTGGCTGGGAACAACCAACATCTTTTGCAACATTCCGTGATGATTTACCTTTTTGAAGAAGTTTTATGATCCTCTCCTTAGTTTCAACTGACATCTCTCATGTTGGAGCCATGATTCATGTCATACAGCTTGGTGCAACAGCTCATCAAGTTGTGCAAGCACTGTTTTAACTGCAGACTAATTAGCAGATGTAATCTGATGCAAATGTTTGTTTTAGAACTGCAAAGTACATGGTGATTCCATAATATTTTCCTCAGAATTGAATGATTCCATATTTTTTTCCTCTGCTTGATCTACAAAAACAGTTGCAACTGACTACAGTTTTCTTTTTTTTTTTTTTTTGTTTCTTAAAGAAAAAGTTTTGAGGCATGTCTGTGACTCGTTTTTTTCTACACTACTAAACAATTGAATGAACATTTTCCAACAGTGGTGATTCCATACTTTTTGCCAGGGGTTGTAAGCACTGGTTTACCTTTACTCATTATTAAGATACCTGCCTGAGATGGGCAGAATGTTTCCAGTTGCTGGGGTAATTATATGGTTGCACCTGAAAGCAGAATATCAATTTAATATGTTAGAAAACTACACAGGGAGTAGAGAGAAAAAGGTGTGTCAGGGTTGCCAAAAGGAAATGGAAAAGTGGATGATGAGGTATAGAGATTCATAGGGCCACATAAAAAAGGAAAGATAAAGAGTGTAATTCTTACCATAGGTACCCAGTGTAGATATGTGAAAAAACAATGTTGACCCCGAACCTGACACAGAACATGCTGACAAGAAACATACATAGAAGTGGAGAAAGAGAGTGTGTGAACTGTGTGAAATCACAAAAAAAAAACCAAAGACGTAAGCACAACTCTTCATTAATAGTAGATGGTGCCAGAGAATCTAACAAATAGATCAGTTTAGGTTCTGGCTGCAAGAGTAGGCTGGAAATATCAACTCCTCTTCTGTTCCTTTTGATACAATCTAGATATCTGTCCATTGATACTTTGTTGAACTGAGAGTTTGATATTTGTATGCTGTATGTTTTTCTATCATGTATCATTTTAGTTTGACCCATATACATTTGAGCATATAAACCACTTCCATTACCTGACAGGTGATGAATCTCCAAGGTTTAAAATCTTTAGTCCCAGAACTTTTTTGGACTTGATGAGTCCATATTATATACTGGCAAATCAAGCATGATCCAGAAAGATACAGTAATTGCCCACAAGTTGTCCTAACTGTAGTTGTTGTGTTGTCTTACAAAATTACTTCTACATAGCTTGTCTCAAATATTTGGTGCTTTTCTTATAGTGATGGAGTGATAATGCTAAATATGTCAACTGATGATATGATCAGAAGAAAGTAGTAGCCAATACCTATTTTGGATAACAAGCTGTTTGTAATATTTTAAATTGTCTATTGACTCTACTAATAATGGTTCAGACATTTGTTAAAACAAGGAATTTTGGTTTGGTGTGGTCATTAAGCGAGGTCCCTTTATGTATGGCACACTCAGTAGTAGTGGTGTGGGTTCACGCAGGAGACATATTGTACAAAGACACAGAAGCGATGGAACATGTAACATATTTTACAAAAAAAAAAAATCTCACTCAAAATGTTCACAAACAGTAGAGAGACCAGGGATTTATTTTAAATGTACAGTTGCAATTGACTAGAGTTTTCTTTCTTTATTTTTTTTAAAGTCTTTTTTAAAGCCAGAAGGTTGGAATGCTAAATGAAAATAGTTTTGAGGCATGTCTGTGACTGTTTTTTTTTTCTACACAATTATACAATTGAATGAACATTTTCCAAGAGTGGTGATTCCTTACTTTTTGCCAGGGGTTGTAGATATTAGCCTCAATAATACAGTCCCATATTGCCTATCTTATTCTTCCTTCCTAAGATTGACAATAAATTTAAATAACTATGTAAAGGAAGAATAGGATTGACATATGGGACTGTATTGTTGATGCTAAAATCTAAGGTCTGGTTTATCTTTATGCATTGGTTTTTCTAATATGTTTGACATTTAATCTGACATGATATTGCATTGACATATATTTTTATGTTACGTATGGGCTGATTTACTAAAGACAAATAGGCTGTTCACTTTGCAAGAAAAGTTGCCACTGACTTTCATCATCCAGTCATGTGCATGCAGAAATTCTGTTTTTCCTTTTTTCTTTGCACTTGATTTTATATTCTTTGCAAAATAACATTTTACTACATTTACTGAGGGGACACTCTGGGACAAATTCCTTAGCAAAGTGCAATGTCTATTGCAAAGTGAAAAGTCTATTTGCCTTTAGTAAATCAACCCCTATATTTTCCATCAACACATCCTGCATATTACCTTTTGGCTGAGTATTGATGGAAGTTGTTATAACAATGATGGTATAAGGATGTTGCCCAAATGTTTGATATTGATTCTCTGCTTCTGTTTTTACCGCTTGAAGAATGCATTCTCATCACATGACTTCCTTCATGCTATCTCTTGGATGCATATTGGTGGATGTTGTTCCAACACCTGGATGATGCCACACAATCTGATGTTGCTTTCCTGTTTGTGCACAAACACACATATTGGAGAGTGATGTCTTTCCCATTGAGGTCCCATGTGATTTCTTTCCATTGTGCTACACATTCCTTATAACTTTGGAGGGTAGATTTATAAAGGAAAATAGACTATGCATTTTGCAAATGCAGTTGCACTAATTTTCCCCAGAGCTTTGGTAAAGCTATTCTGATTGCCATCATCCAATCATGTGCAAGCAAAAATGCTGTTGTTTATTTTCCTTGTACCTGATTGGGTATTCTTTACAAAGTGAAACTTTACCTCAGTTACTAATCTCTGGGAAAAATGTGTGCAACTGAACTTGCAAAGTGCACAGTCTATTTGTCTTTACCCTGGGTTCACATTAGCCCGCAGGCTGGGTGTGGGTGCAGGAATCCCACTTGTTCCCACACCCACAACCACCTGCAGCCAAATCATGCTGCTCTTGCTAGACATGAAGGGATGCCATTCATTCTGAATGGCACCCCCACGAATTTCAGCTCACAATCTGATTGGGGGGTGCAGGAACCACAGGGAACTATATGGTCAAAAAGACCATGCTATTTCCCTGCGGATGCATTTTTGAAAGGTGCATGCACCTTTTTTGTGCGGGAGTGCGGGACAAGTGCGGGACAAGTGGCACAGCAGCCCATTCAAATGAATGCGGCCCACACTAGTGTGAACCGGGCCTAAGTAAATCCACCCCTCTATGTTGCATGTAGGTCAAGAGCAGACTTTTAGGGGTACTTAATTTATTCTACATGACAGACAACACGTTATTTCATCTTCAGGCACTTGCATGCTTGTCTGGAATCTCATAATGGATATACTCCCGCCCCTTGCATTTCTTGTGAGTTATTTGTCTCGGTAAGTGTTTGGGGATGAGGAAAGATGCTGTCTGCCAATTAGCAGCCATCTTCTTACTAACTGGGTAGTCAGATGCTTGTGAGGGAGAAGAGGAGTTCCCTGTCCTTAGACAGCACCTAGGAAGATGGAACAAAGCGCTACATGTACTTTGTCCCCTAGGGAACAGAAAACCTTAATAAAAATCAAAATGAGACATCTTTAAAGTAAACCTCTCGCAAACATGTGAATTCAAGCATATGAGGAAAAACCACAAAAGCAAAGATTGTTGTTACAATGCCTGTAGCTGCATACTTCCCATAGTCTTCAGGACACTGTGAGGGAAATCGGAGGTACAGTCATGCATAAAGATGTGTGCATGCTCATAATAATTGTCGAGTGACCAGTAGACGTGCCCTAACTCACGCACGAATCTGCGCACATGCGCATGTGCATTAGCGTGAACGAGCGTGAATACTTGGCACTCACTTGCCTATTTAAGGTGGCTCCAAACACCAGAAGATTGCTGAGTAGTCTTCGACTTCTACTGTTTGTGACCTGATTCTGTACTACCCAGCTTGTCCCTGATACCTTGTTGCTGACTCTGGCTTGTGACCTGACCCTGCCTTCTGCCTGCTGTTCTGGTACCTTCCCTGCTCCACCAATACTGACCCCAGCTTGACTCTGACTCTGTTTTGGTTCCTGATTCTGCACTTCTGCTGTTTGGCTGATAAGACTCTTGCCTGCCTGACTACCCGAGATCCTACATCTGCTTGCTTGCCAGCCTGCTTGCCAGCCTGCTTGCAGCCTGTGGTTCTGCACCTGCTGCTGTGTCCTCTCATTGATTAGCTCATCGATCCGCCTGCTGTTCAGCACCTGCTGCAAGGTTCTTCTGGCCAGGATCTCCTATAAGGCATCTGTGCCACTCTGTGCCCTGTTATATCCTGTCACCACCTTCAGGAGAAACAGGACAGGAGATGTAAGGGAAAGTCCTTTTGTCAGCTCGGCCTCAACCAGGTACGTGACAGACACCTTGCTATCTCTCGTCCCATTCACCTCTAACCTAGATCAAGCATGCTGTGTTTAGATGCATTCCTCTACAATCTGCTTCCAGATAATAGGTATTATGTGGGACCACTCTACAGCCCATACCTGATTTCTATCAAGCACCATGCATGGACTCAGTGTCAAAGAAACAGTGTCTGTTACTCAGCATTAGCATGTATTTGAAATATGAATTGACTGTTTTCTTGTTTCTGCTTGATCTCCTGTTCCTGGTTTCAACCTGGTTTGCTCCCACATGAAAACGTCTGAACAGTTTCTCTTGCTTACAACCTGAATTCTGGTTTCTATTATCTGTCTGCCCTATCCTTTTTTTCTGCATACATTGCATACCTTCCATCATGATTGCATTACATTATAATCATATTTTTGAAATTTTAAAACAAATGTTAACAAACTCTAAATTCAAATATACTGTATCTTCAATTACCCTACTTAGATATACTCATATATGTAAGACATGTACAGTTTAATGTTAAATAAACGTAACTTGGTAATCCACAATGTTTTTAACAAGATGCAAAGGATTTGAGTCTACATGAGAAAATCACTTTTGTAGGTGTTTAAAATTATGCTAAGGAAATGTTGCCTTTTTAATATATTATTAGCTTTCTTGGCATGCTGGTATCTAAATAATATCTAGTAAGCTATAGCTAAGTCTCCATGGAAATTCATTAGTTTCATTTACATCTGTTCATTTATGAGATGCAAATAGTCTTTTTATGATTTGTTTATTGCAAAACAAACACCACTGGTATTTTATTCTGAATTAGAGACATAACTGTAATTCCACATTTTAATAAGAGTGACGTCTGCCAATTAATTTCTGCCAATTAATTTGGGTCATTTTACCATCAGTTTGATTGAGGAACATGTTCACATGTAAATCCAGTATCACAATTTTTTAAGGCAATATTATACTTTTTTAGCATTTTAACTAGTTCTTGACTTAATATAGTTCTCCTGTGTCCACATACATGTAGCAACTAGAGACAAAACATATTTATCTCATATTGGATATGGAATGCATTAGGTAATTAGTAATGTATTAGGCTGGGCAGCATGCTTTCATTTTTACACGCTGTTCCTAGTATGATCTTTGTGAGTAACTTTTTAATTAAAGCCTTTTTTATAAAAGTTAATGCACTGTAGCTTCTCTGCATTTCTCCATGTCACCTGGGGCCATAACACTATTATGATCGGTGGATGTGCTGACAAAATCATCCGAAATAAATTGAGCTCTTGATTAAACTGCTTTTGTTGATTACTAAGTGTTGTGGAGTGATGATATCCATCCTTATGGCTGCCTGATAATCTTGTTACATTGTTTGATCCACAAATTCCATTTGACCTCAGCATTAAGAGGTCAAACTATCTGGTAAAGAGGTTGATTTTATGCAGACTTTTTAGTGGCTGCTTGTTTTCTATTTTTTTGTTTTTGTTATATACCATATTTTTCGCTCCATAAGACGCACCTGACCATAAGATGCGCCTAGGTTTTAGAGGTGAAAAACAAGAAAAAAATATTCTGAACCAATGGACTTCAGACATAGTACAGAAAATGACCAGAGACTGCAGACACAGTACAGGAGATGACCAGAGACTGCGGACCTACTACAGGAGATGACCAGAGACTGCGGACATAGTACAGGAGATGATCAGACTGCGAACATAGTACAGGAGATAAACAGAGACTGCGGACACAGTACAGGGAATGACCAGAGACTGCGGACAAAGTACAGAAGATGACCAGAGACTGCGGACACAGTACAGGAGATGACCAAAGACTGCGGACATAGTACAAGAGATGACCAGAGACTGCGGACACAGCACAGGAGATGACCAGAGACTGCGGACACAGTACAGGAGATGACCAGAGACTGCGGACACAGTACAAGAGATGACCAGAGACTGCGGACATAGTACAGGAGATGACCAGGGACTGCGGACACAGTACAGGAGATGACCAAGAGACTGCAGACAGTACATGAGATGACCAAGAGATTGCAGACAGTACAGGAGATGAACAGAGACTGTGGACCTTTGGGGATGGAGGGGGAGAGGGCACCTGTCAATCTGACAGGTACCCGCTCCCACTTCCGCGGAGTTGTCCTCCCTTTAGTGTGGGCACCCGGGTGACAGCTGGGTGCCCACTGCGCATGCGCGAGACGCAGGGGCGGACTGACCATTCGAGCACTCAGGCACTGCCCGGGGTCAGTAGGGGGCCCCATGAAATGCCCCTGGTTCCTTTTATAGGCTTTTTTGGGTGTGCTTTGAGTGTGGGCAAGGACACAGGGGCCCCATGATCCCCTATTGCCCAGGGGACTCATGAGTTGTCAGTCCACCCCTGGAGAGAAGCACTGCGCTTTGTGAATGGCCTGATGTCTTCTGGGACCTGTCATGTGTCCCAGAAGATGCTGGGCAATTCACAAAGCGCAGCGCTTCCCACACATGCGCAGTGGGCAGCCGGCTGTCACAGCTGGGTGCCCGCACTAAAGGTGCTGGCGTGGGAAGACTGTTTAGCGCTGGAGAGAGGAACAGGTAAGGTTCTGCTGCAGAGAAGAGCTGAGCGGCCAGCCCAGTATTCTGACACAGTGGAAATACCGGACCGGACGCTTGATATTCGCTCCATAAGACACACTGACATTTTACCCCCCATTTTTTTGGGGAAAAAACTGCGTCTTATGGAGCGAAAAATACGGTACATTTTGTATGTTGTTTATTTTATGCCATATGGAGTTTATATAAGGTGGAGCAATTGGACAATGTTGCATTTTCACATGTTTGCACTTTGATTAATGTCTTTATGGTGGATCAATCATTCACAATTTGGTTGACTTTTATAGGGACAGCACAACTATTTTCATCTTGTCTATATCAGTTACTGGAAATTATAGAGTGCTACATGAAATACAAAAAAAAGTAAACCACTTTTGTTTACCAAAAGTTGTGAAAAAGTTTCATATAAACAATAACTGCAAACACACCATGAGATATTTATCATAGTACAATAACATATAAAAACACAGTGTTGCGTTATTAAAGCTATAACTTATTAATTATGAAACACATAAACTAAATGTGAAATCCTAAAAAGTTCTTTTGTGAAAACATCCATGTGAAGAAAATCCCCCAAGTGAAAATGTCCACATTGCACGTAGATAGGTAAGTGTTCAAGAATCATCACCATCACCTCTTAAGAGAAACCACCACTATAAAGAATAGGATGTACACTTACCTGAAGGTAAGCAACCTTCTGATTAAAGAAAGCTCTAACAAGCTGGTTTATATATGATCCTCCAAACGTTTTAATGTGCATGGACACATAGAATAACATTTAGCTGCTTTTACAGGCTAAACACAAAACTCCTGTAGAAGCAGAATTTTTAAGCCTATGTGCATGGACCCTAAATGTGTATTATCTACATAAACCAATAGCTCTCTTTGTTTTCCCAAATATCTCATCTCATTGCCATTATGATACCAGAATTCCCCAGTACTGTCTGTCCAGCCTGTATCTAGCCCTGTGATCCTCATGCATTTCAGCCTGTGTCCAGCCTTGTGATTGTAGTGAACTCCTACATGTACCTATTGCCTGTGACTCCATACCTGCTCCTGTGATCCTCATGATCCTTAGTCTGCATTCTGCTCGAGGGACTCATCTTTCACCACCACTTTGATTCCCTGTGTACTTTAGTCAGCTACCTACTCTCCTACATTTGTGTGATTCCTTTTGTGTTTTAGCCTCTCATTACCAGCACCTATGCACTCCTAATCTATTTCTCTCCTCTGTGCTTTTGTGTTCCTATACACTTCTATGAGTTTGAATTGTGTTCCATACAGACTTGTGATCCTAGCATCTCAGCACTGCATACCCCCAGTTCTCATTATCTACCTGTTCGAGTGAGTCAGAGGGTCACAACCTGGGTATTGCCTACAGCACAATCCATCTTCATCTTCAGGAACTTACAGCTATTGCTGAAGGGCAGGTGCATTGGGCTTAACCTTTAGTACCAACAGGTATCTTTCTTTTCCCAAGGCTCCACATAGTTCTGTGTCTACTCTATGGCCAATGCCAATGCCTAACTCCAGTTGCTATTACTATTCCCAATTGCCAGTCTTCCTTCTTGTTTGAATAGACACGAACTCATGACTTACCAACTTGCACAAGAATTTACTGCCTGGCACTAGTCTGGGCAATCTCCTTTTTTTTTTTTTTTTTACTTGTCAGTTTTTATTGAACATTTACAAGGTTACAATAATACGCAGTAGTTTCGTAATAGCATATTACTGTTTTGTAACATTTGAAGACAATAGATTAGAAGTATATTTAACATTTGCAAACAGACAATATTGGTTACATTTCTTCAATGGTTATTACTATCGTCAATACATTTGTCTAGTATTCCTTTAGTGTTGTTTGAAATTTTCAGTAGTGTAGTAATTTAGAAAAGAAAGGTAGAAACTATGATAAGGAGAGAAGTATAGAAGTTAGAACAAAAGAGTAGAATGAAAATTAGGTCATTAATATTACATACTGTATTTCCTTCAGGATAATATATTCCTTTGGATACAAATATCATTGCATATATGAGTCGTTGGATACTGAGGTTATCGTAGGAAGTTCTAGAGAGCTGTGATGTTAGATGTGCTTATATGGAACATCTTAAAGCATTTTACAAAACAGTACAGCAATGATCCTTGAGCCATAGTCCCAGTTTTTCAGAAATTTGTCGAGCGAGTTGTGTATGCGGGCAAAGGTTTTTTCAAAGGCCATGTTTGTGTTCAGTATTTCAATTACTGTATGAATGGATGGTGTAGTTTGTTGTTTCCAAAACCTGGCAATACTTACTCTTGCAGCTATCAGAATATGAATTAATATAATTCTGGATTGATGAGGCCAGGAGTTTATTTCTATACCCAGAAGTGCTAAAGCTGGATCGGGAGTTGGAGATGAAACCATAATCTTTGCTATAAGCGAGAATATATCTGTCCAAAATTAGCTGATTTGAGGACATTCCCACCATATGTGGTGCAGGGATCCCATTTGGTTGCAATTCCTCCAACAAAGTGAAGAATGATGGGAGGGACATCATGCTGCTAATTGTTGTGGCGTGAGGTACCATCTGTGTATTAGCTTTTGGGTTGATTCCCATTGGTTGATACATCTAGAGGCGTTCTTGGTCCATTGTGTTGCACTTTGCCATTGTTGTGTAGGGTAATGCTTTCCCAGATCTCTTTCCCATTTTTATATCACTGGTAATTTGTCTGGTTGGAGGAGTGTGTTATATATGAATGATATGCCAGGTTTATGAGGGTCTGTCTTTTCATAAAAGTTAGTCAGGGATCAAAGAAAAGGATTTTCTTGGTATTCCAGGTTTTGTAATGTATGACGGAACCTTCGATATTTAAAGAAGTCTTTAGATATAATATGGTATGTTTCTGTAAGTTGGTGAAACGATCGTAGATTTTCTTTTGTATATAGTTGAGCAAGGTCATGAATACCCTCTCTGTTCCAGGATTTTAGCTCAAGATCAGGTGTAAGTGCTGAGATGGAGAGTAACGGTATAAAGCCATTAACTGTAGGATGACTGTGAGGTGGAGTTTGCAAGATACTCAAGTGTGTAGGGTTATGTTTATCATGTCTAAACAATATCTTGGAGCTCTATGAGGTAGAATAATGGCTCCCATCGAGGCTCGTGTGCCAGTAGGAAGTAGGAATTGTTCTATTTGCGCCCACCTTTTCTCTGGGGTGACTGTCACGATCGCGGCGTCAGACCCCAGACCTTCTCACCAAACTCGTGACCGAAGGTCTGGCCAATCGGAAATCGCGATATGACATGCATAACAATGCCACACCCAGCTGCGCCCTGCACAGCGATTTTCCAGCTAATGGACTACAATCTGTGCCTGCAGCCTGAATGCGCTTGTTACTGGGTCAGGTTAATCATGCAATTAACCATTCACTGCCACCACCACCTCCTTTTTGGTACAGAGAAAGAGGAAACTCGACTTCAGCTATGACACTATAATGGTCGATATAATCATCTGTATAAAATGGTCATAACACAGGTGTTTTATACAAAGGAGTAAACAAACAGTAGCGTCTCTTTAAAGGCAGGGATTCGTAAATTGCAATTAAAAGCTATAGAAACAGTTCAACACTTTCAAAAAGGAAGATTTATTACTATAAGGTCAAACAGGGTGCAATAAAAATATTTACAGAAAAAAGATGTAAATAAGTATATATAATATATATAAGATATATATATATATATATATATATATATATATATATACACACAAAGAACCATAGCACAGCAAAGAGATATCAGAGAGAAAGGGAAGAGTTAAAGTACTTGCCAAAGCCCTGGGTCAGCAGATCCAAGATGCAGAGCAGAAGCGGGATTTGATCTCCCTATGTTACGATGGAAAGATAGGAGATTTCTTCAACTTACTTCTTTAGGCCTGCTAGCCTGTTTTTTAAAGTCCCCCAGCAGGGGGGTGGCTCTGAGTAAATGACCAATACTCTGTTTAGGGAGGGATTGGCAGGCGGAACCCAAAATTAGAACCAGCATCTTTCATAATTCATATTCTGACCTCTAACTTCCCAGCCGCACAAGCGATAATCTCTCCGCGGGTATTTTATTATGCAGATAAGTCTAAGGATCATGTAGATATGAATTATGAAATTGTACGTTACACGGTGTACGAGTTCTAGGTTTTGGCTCCCCTGATGATCTGAGGTGGATGAGTGACCCATCAAAATGTTCGTCTGCGCATTGGCCATCTGACAAGGTGCCCGGTTTTTATGTAAGTCTTCCATATTTCAAGATATGAAACATAGGGGAAAAACTGATTTTACCAGAAGTTATCTGATCTGCCACCTACGCTGAGCTAGGTTTTATGAGGTTACAATTCTTTCAATTCCTGGGAGAGCTGCCTTATCTCCTTTCGAGGTGTGAAATGTTACATCTTCTGGGACAGTGAATCTCCAATTCTCTTAGGACAGCTGAGTTATCCTGGCCTAGGTGAGAAAGGCTACACTTCCACAGACTGCTAGGCACTGAACTAGGTGCCTTGGCCTGTCAGTGACCCATAACCAGCCACATCTGTCACTGTGCCTCTCAGGAAGGGAGGGGGAAGGAATGAGGGGGAAATGGATACCCTTAGCAAGATAGAGTGTGAAACCAAAATGGTTGAACTGCGTCCATCTCGGATGC